GCCATCACTACTGACACCTCACTCATTGCTACTGGAGCAGTTTTGCTACAGACTGATGAAAATGGAGTCTACCATCCATGTGGATACCTCTCCCAAACCCTGAACCCAGCTGAAAGAAATTATCAGATCTTCAATCGTGAACTTCTCGCTGTTATCCACACCCTCACCAAATGGCATCATTACCTCAAAGGAAACCCTCATCCAGTTATTGTCTTTATGGATCATAAGAATTTGCTCTACTTCTGTACCACACAGAAATTGACTCATTGCCAAGCACGTTGGCAGCTCCTCCTCTCCTGTTTCTCCTGTTACAACATAGAACTCCATCACGTTGCTGGAACTAAACTCACCACCCCTGATGCACTCTCCAGACGTCCTGATCATGGAACCGGACAGGGTGACAATGATGATGTCACTCTCCACCCAGACTCTATGTTTGTATGACTTCTTGACATGGAGCTTATGACCACACTCGCAAATCCTGACCCCTCTGATCCCAACCCAATCTTCCACACTGCTGCAGATGCCCTCGATGGCTTATCGCTTCCCCCTATGAAATCTGCACTCACTGATTGGACAATTAAAGAAGACATCTTATATTACAAAGATCGTGCCTACATCCGCCCCACTGGAAGACACCTGATTCTGGAGTGATGTCATGACCATGCTTCTGCTGGTCATCCTGGCTGCTTTAAGACAGAGGAGCTTGTCAAACATGACTTTTGGTGGCCTTCTATGGGCTCCTATATTCAGAAATATGTTGATGGTTGCACTCTTTGCCAGCAAATGAAATCTGACATGCACCCTGTGACCCCCCCACTTGTTCCTATCCCCTCAGTTGCCTCTGCACCCTTTGCCCAAGTCTCCATTGATCTCATTACCAATCTCCCCATATGCGCAGGTTTTGACTCTGTCATGGTCATGGTTGACCATGGCCTTATGAAGGGGGTAATTCTGATCCCTTGTACAAAAACCATCACTTCTGAAGGTGTTGCCTCAAAGTTTTTCAAATACATCTATTGCCACTTCAGTCTTCATGAGAAAGTTATATCTGATTGAGGACCACAGTTTGTATCAAAGTTCTCCAAAGCCCTTGCTAAACTCTTAAAATACGACATTGCTGCATCCACCGCTTATCATCCTCAGACTGATGGACAGACTGAACATCTCAACCAGGAACTAGAGACTTATCTCCACATTTACTGCCGCAATCACCCAGAGGATTGGGTAGAGCACCTTCCTATGGCTGAGTTTGTCCATAATCACTGAAAACATGACTCACAAAATGCATCCCCATTCTTCCTTATGATGGGATATGAACCCAGAGCTCTCCCACACACCCTTCCTGATTCTACAGTACCTGCTGTGGAAGATCAACTCCATCTACTTCAGAAATCAAGAGAAGAAGTGCTTTCTTGCCACGACCTTGCTATGCAGTGAATGGCAGAACAAACGCACAGGCAGAAGTACCACCCATAGAAAATAGGAGATAAGGTTGGGTTATCAGGAAAGAACCTAATCATGCAGTTACCATCACAGAAGCTTATGCCAAAGTGATATGGCCCTTTCCCTATCATCGCCATGCTATCACCCATCATGTTCACACTCCAACTATCACTGCAATGGAGAGTTTACCCCACATTCCATGCTTCCGAGCTATCATCCTATCATGAGACAGAAATCCATGGCACGAACTTCCATGATCCTCCCCCAGATGTCATTGATAATGAAGAAGAATATGAGATTGATGTGATCTTATCACACAAAGGAACAAGTAAATGGAGACACTATCTAGTGTCCTGGAAAGGATACTCCTCCACCAGTAATGAATGGATTCCGGAAGAGAACCTCGATAATGCCGCTGATGTCCTTTCCACATATAAAAAGACCCATCGATTGTAATCTTAGAACAATGTCTCTTGAATACTTACACCTCTGCATCCAACACATCAAAGAACTCCCTGCTGCTATGAACACTGTATCCAAAAACATCACTCACCCATTATCCCCTACTGACTACCAGACTGCCACCATCACCAACCTCGCCACTGCTGAAAACACACCTTCCCCAGTCACTTCCCCACCATTGACCGACTCTACCTTAACCAGTGACTCTACCCTCACTGATTACTTCACAATCATTGATAAAATTGAGACCAGTGCCTTATTCAAATCTGCCATCACGTCCCAACAATACGCTATTGAGATAGATCATCTCCTAGGAGAAAGAGGGGCAATCTCTAGCGGACTTATTATCTGAATCATCAGAGACACTAGCCTTATTGAATGCACCGCTAACCTTCTTGATGATGACTGCCACAAGACCATCTTCTACCATCTTCATATACACATTTGTAATACTGCAATCCATCTGTTGCCTGATGATACTAAGGAGGCTATCAGAGAGGCTATTCACATTGTCACTGAATGGATCGCTACAAACCCAGTTGTGTGACCCCCATCCCCACACATTGCCATTCCAATCCCACTGCCAGTTCTTCTGACAGCTACCACTGAGCATTCGGATGATGGTATCCCTCCTATTGCTGTACTTGACATACCAGCTTCTCCTTCTCCTGCCCCCATCGCACCCACTACATGTCAGTACCCCACCAGGTGCAGATCTGCCTGTATCGCCAAATGAATAGTGTCAGCCTCTCCACACAGAAATTGTAAATGACAATCCAGATCCCCTTCCCCACCAGCACAATTGTCCACTGTCACCACTGTAAAAACCGCAACAATCAACAACGTCATGTGTCATAATTGTCGCACTGCTGGACATCACCATAAGAACTGTCCAGCGTACCATTGCCAGGTTTGCAAAGAATATGCACCTGGGCATCTGTTGGTCTTTTGTGAAGACTTGAAGGGCAAAGCAGTCATTCCACTGGTTTGGACTGACACTGGTTTCTATGAAGCCCTTGCTCATTGGGAGATTGAGCAGGATGCTATTTATCACGCTGCCGAGATAGCTGATAAATTGTTTACTATTACAGAGGAACAAAACAACTTGCTGGACTCTAACTATGACACTGACCCAATCTATTGGGCTAATCAGGATAACTAAAGTCGGTGACTTTATTCCTAACCAAGGGGTAATGTTACAACCACATATGCCCCTATTCATTTTCCCTTTTCTTACTTTGTATTACATCACAATCGCCACTGCTGTTGCTAGATGACCTATTCTTGCTATCACTTATGCATCCCTTATCTCTGACTCATCCATTCACATGCCTACCCTAAAGCACAGTAGTTCACTATAAATAGTCCTCCTGTATGCTTTAGTTCTTTACTTCAATCTTACTAGGTTTTTCCTGGAATATCCTTCACTTGAGACCTCCAATTTCTTGTCACCTGAATTGTACTTTAAGTTAGAAGCACTCCTTCTGACTTAGCTTACATCGAACACTTGACTTATCGTCTTGTGTAAAATCTCAACAGAAGTCCTAAAACTCTTATTGAGTTGTCTGTTGAGTGAACTATCCTAGTTCATAACACAGACACTGTTGTTTGAAGTCCTCTTTTGCTTTGCTGGAGCCATGATGGCTGGCAGCACCTGATCTCACCATTATAAGCAAGTAATGATGTCTATGTCATGCTGTGCAAAGCTCCATCATGGAGTGCGAAGGTTCCATTGAAAAAAATCTGAAGTTGGCTCAGAAGTTGGCCAAATCAACTTATCCTGAACAGATCCTCATGGTATGATGACCATGTGAAGGGTGGTGTGATGTGGGGACATATGGTCTAGGTTGCAAATCCATATCTTGCAAAAAAAGTGAAGGGTTCATTGATAAGTAGCATTGGATTCCTCCAATTGGGCCCCAGTAGCTTAGAGTGGCTTGAGAAGGCACTGTGCAGTTGAATACAGCCTAGATATCCATTGATCTCTTCAGGCTAGGAAGCTAAGGAGGGGACAAAACTAGCTATTCTCATGTTCATGTCCCATTATATAAAATGCTTGGCATCCCCCCAATTGAGCCCAGGGGGCTGAGAAGCGGCACTCTGCAGTCAGAGACAGCCTGATAATTGTTGCGACTACAAGAAGGCACAGTGGTGGTACTAGCAGCTATAAAGTGAGAGGCTGCACTGATCTCAGTCAATATCCCTTCCCACTGCTGCAATGTTGGTAAAACTCAAGAGTTAGGGACAGCCAAGCTGTCCTTACTCTTGGCAACAAAGTAGAAGAGGTTATTGCCAAAATTGTAGAAGTTGATTCAGATGTGATAGTGTTGTCATTGGGGAACAGGCTCAAGAATTAGGGACAGTCACATCCTGTCAATGAACAAAAAATGACTACTGCATATAGCAAGAACCTTCATTATGACAGCATTATGTAAGCATGTGCCGACCTGAGTCATGCCACTAAATTGATTTAAACAATGAAATTTACACTTGGCACTAACCAATGTTGGGTGTTGGGGAAGCATACTCTGAGTCCTGCTAAAATACACATCAGATTGAGTAGTTCAAATGAAAACCCATTGCATTGTTCTGTACTGTAAGTATAAGTATTTCATATCATCATCACACCAATGGAGCAGACATAACAGGTCAGAGTACTGGTAGGACAGTATTGTATACTGGTTTACATGCTGTACAACATCCATGGAGTTACAACAAGGGCAATAAGAAATATGGAAATGAAAATATAATGGGAATGAAAAACATGCTGTATCTCACTCATCCTGGGACTCCATCAAGATCTCCTGAGCCTCTTGTTAGACCTGTTGGATTGGGTCCCTGGCTCCGCAATACCAGATGCTTGGCGCTTTAATGTGACATGCCATTCACAGTACTGGTCATACCTGTTGTGAAGTGAGGCCATGTAAACACAATTCATCATCAAGTCTCAATCAAAGACACAAGCCAGGGGTGTCCATTTGCGGATGGCACTATCAGACTGATCACCAAAGGATTTATGTAACTGTAGGGTGGTCATACCTGAGATCGTCTGCTGGTTTGCAGTACTTCTCAATGTAACTGACAAGGTTTTCTCAGATTAACATCATGTCCCACTTGAGCACTGAGTCAAGATGCCCAGTGTCCATTGTAGGATATGGACAAATTTGCTGTAGGGTTCAGCATCAGTCCAAACACTGTTATTAATAGGAGTACAACATACAGAGCATGCATAATACTGATTATCACTTTGCTTCACATTGAAAGAGAATTGTCCCTCAGGGTGATGGAGCCAGGTCTTGATAGTGATCTTCAGTGGATTGACCCACCAATGCAGGATGCTAGACATAATTGACCCAAAAGCTGGTTGATCTAAATCACTGCACCACTCCCTAAATGTAAGCAAATCTCACCCCTCCATTGACAACTCCATATCCAACAAATCCTTGGGTTGTTTGTAAGGGGCCGACTTGTGGACATCAATGATGGTGACCATGAGGAGGTCCTTGCACCTCTCCATGAAATGGTGAAATTTCGACATCAATTCCTCCCCCTCCTCTGAGGAGGCAATGTCTATGCACCACAACAGCACAACTCCAGCAGGACCTTGCAACTCGAGAAGAGTGTCAGGTACCCCTAACCACCTACTACATACATTGAGAAAAGCTGCCATTCGCACAGGTAAATAAAGGCCCCATTGCTTATTGATGGGTAGTGAATCAATGGTAAGTTCCATCAACTTGTGCATTGACATGAGAACACTGTCATGAATGTGGCAAGGTCATTGGACAGCAATGGATCATTGAAGATTGGGGGCATATGATGGTCTAAGGGAAGGTTCTCATTATTAGTATCAATTTCATTAACTGTGAGTGTAGCCCACCTTCAAACAAGCTTATCTTGTGATGCGACAGCATGCATAACATAATCACAATCAGCTTTGGAAATATTGGAGAATCTCTGTAATAGAAGAAAGAGTTGAGATGACAATTGAATGCTTCATCATTAGATTCATACAATGCATATATCTACACCATCCTGCAAGTCTTCCTTGAGGGCAGTAATGATGTGCTTGCATAAATCTATTACAAGGCTTAGCAAACAATCACACTGATAGGCAGAGATCTGACCATCTGGATTGGCAAATTCCAGATCAACAGGTGGTGCTGAGGGAACACAAAGTATTGAAAAACTTGAGACCAAATTTGCCAGTGATGTGGATCTAGTGGTAGGTTGCCATGTGCATTACATGCCTTTGTCAGGAAGTTTTTTTTCCCATTATACTAGTGCATCAATGATGGCTATTGAGAGGCCATCATACTCATTCCAAGACTCACAGTAACCTACTCTGCTGCCAAAGACAATGACACAGTGTGACAGGGTGCAAAGCCTAGCACAGGGTGGGGGAAATCTGAGGGAGTAAGTTGATTGTAACCACAGGGTGGTATTGGGGTAGAAGCATTTTGATTCAACCTCAAGAGTAGGCTGTGGAAAAAGTTCTACACAAACATTTTAGGTCCTGTTACTCCTCAGTAGGGGTGTACATCAAATGAACCACAATGAATGTAGAGTACAGATAGATCCCATGATGAGTGTAGAGAGTACATAGTATAGACTACATTGAGGTATAGCTTTATGCAGCTTCAGTGCTGGTGTGCGAACTTGTAATTTCATTTCTGTAATGACTTCACTCTATGAAAAGGGCATATGTCCTCTTGAGTGGTTGAGGCATAAGGCCCCTGGCTCACTCTGGCTGTCTGGCAAATACTCTGCCAGACATTACCCTGTTGCTGACAACATCTGGTGAGAGGTGAATATGGTTGTGAATGATTGGCTCAGTGGGTACATGTATGAGTGACAATGCAGTTCATGCCTGACATATCTCTTGAATTTCATTGAAATGAAGAATACCAGGCAGAGTGTTGCACAAGTCATCAGGATCTTCAGTCTTGCACTAATCTTTATGAGCATGAACTTGCAGACAATGAAGTATATATGTACAAGGTACCTTGCCCACTCTTGTAAATCTTGAGTGCACATCGGGTAGTGTGGAGCACCCCTCTGTGAGGTGTCTACCCAGCAGAACATGCTCTCTCCTTGGTGCTCAGAGCAGTGCAGCTTACTCTTCAGATTCTCAAACTCCTTCATGTATGGCAGTTTGGGTACTGGGAACTGCATGTGTACAGAAAGAACAGAACCTGGGCCAGTGTAGCTATCATCCATATACTGGGACAGCATTTCCAGGGAGCAAGTGAGAGACATCAAGTCAGATATTAGATATGCCGATACTTTTATTTGCTCAACATTTATACCTGGTAAGATGGCAATGATGCACAACCCTGATGCCAGACTAAGATGAAGGCACTCCACAATACATGGCTATGAGGTTAGATCATAACACCCAATAGAGATGAGGGCAGACAATATAAACATGTTACATTGGTTGCCATATGGCATCAGGCATTTGAATCAGGAAGGTGGTGCTTCCTCTATTGAACAAAGGATCATAGTTTCATTTGATTCACTCTGGGTCACCAACTTGCACCTGGACCTTCCCTCACTAGGAATAAATTAAGTTCAAATCCTTCTAGTGGGTGAGGGTGAATGTGGTCACTCATTTACCTTGCTGAAATATGGGGGTTTTGCATCCACAGTTAATTATCTTGGGCTTAGGCAATCATTCATCTAACTGAATCTACAGCATCTGCTACAGTCACATGAAAAAATAGGAGCTCATCAATGGCAAGAAATCCCCTTTAGTTAGAAGCATGATGGAAGGATCATTGGGGTACTCACCTTGGAGGACAAAAGGATGGTAACCTCTTGTAGAGAACTAGACATGCTCCTGTTATAATTTATATGAAGGGGATATTGCCCAAAAACTTCTGTAGATGGGGGATATGAAGGATCCAGGAACACTGAGCATTCCTGGTGTTCAACATAAACTTGAAGGGACAGTACTGAGGAAGGGAACCATTTGTAATTGAAGTCATTTTTGACTGCTTCAGACATGTAGGGTTCATCTTCATACCACAGGAAGTTGGAATGAGCTTATAGTGAGGTCCACAATTTTACACCTTTGTGATGGCTATGGAGTGGTTGAGTTCATATTTGACACAGTGATTTGAAGATAATCAGGGGCCCTGCATGGAAAGCCTAGCCTCTCACACAGGGTTGGGAGACTAAGGGTGGTTGAAAATGGTGTGCAGGTTTGAGACAGCTATTTGAAGACAATCAAAGACCCTGCATGGAAAGCCTAGCCTTTCACATGTGGTTGAGAGACTGAGTTGAATGTGAATGATACAATGCATGACGAGCACCCCTCAAAGATTCAGCATGCTTGAAGCTTGAAGCTCCAGGACTGAAGGTGATCCTGGCAAGTGGTGTGGTAAGAGGTGTAAAAGTTGATGCTGGTAGATACATCAGATGCAAGGTGGTGCGCACATGTAAGATGTCTGAGGGACCCAGAAACACCTGGCATTCCAGGGGGTTTCAGCAAAAGGGAAGTGTGCTGAAGATAATGCCTTTGACTTATAGTAAATGATCTAGGAGCAGTGTTCATAATCAAAGCTATCCTTAGACTGCTTCAGATGGGTATGGTCCTGTCCATACGATAGAAAGTCAGAAGGGACAAGTGCATGCAAGATCTGCAATATAATAGTACTAACACCTCTGTGACAGTCGTGGAGCACAGATTGAGTTCATGCTGAGTTAAAGACAATAAAGGACCCCATGCAAAAAGCCAGGCCTCTCACACAAGGTCAGGATACTGAGTTTACTGCATATGTAATTATATAGGTGGCACAAGAAGCCAAAGAGCAAGCTGAGAGAGAAGGTACTTAGGAATCCGGGAACATTATTATTCCAAGAATCCAAGTCAGTCATGGAGGAGTGTTCAAGAGAGAAGCTACTTAGGAATCCAGGAACATTGTTGTTCCAAGAATCCAACAGAGTTATAGATAAGATCATCATGGAAAGCTAGTCTAAAACCCAGGAACATCATCATTCCAAGATTCAAATGATAGTATGGGTATGGGAATTGGAGTTGTGGAAGAAAGTTAAGTGACAATAACTATACCATAACCAGATGATGGTCAATTTGTGGGTTCAACTTCAAGCGCTGAGCTGTGGAAAAATCTGGCACAGCTTTCTATGTGTTTGGTGATGGGAATCTTTGTGTTTGTCAGGGATTACATAAACTGAAACTTGGACTAAAAGCGACTTCAATGAAACTCTTTGTTGTCAAGAAGGAGGACGGCTCAGCTGTCCTCAACTCTTCAGCTTCCCCAATGTTGTGGGAATGGGAATTCAGATGTCAGTCCCTGTATATCATTAGCGCAACCACTATTTTGTAGCTACTACCACTGTCTGCACCCTCAGTGGTGATGGCTAGGCTGTCTCCAGCTGAGGGACCCATCTCAGCTGGTTCCAAACCAGTGCTCGATTGGAGGAACATCAGATGTCCCATCCAATGGGCACAATCATTGAGAGGAAGGACAGCTCAGCTGTCCTTAACTCTCCAGCTTTCCCAATGTTACAGCAGCTGAAATTTGAATATTAGTCCCTGCATATCATTAGTGCAATCACTATTTTGTAGCTGCTACTACTGTCTATGCCCTCAGTCGTGACAGCTAGGCTGTCTCCAGCTGAGGGGCCTGTCTCAGCTGGTTCCAAACCAGCACTTGATTGGAGGAACACTAGGTGTCCTGTCCAATAGGCACAAAGATGAATATGACAACAAACATTATAGGAAGATTGCAATTACATGCATTAGTCAAGCCACTGACAAGGACAAATGTATGATGGAGATAACCAGGCAAACAAACCTCATCACCCAAGTGCATCAAGGAGTCCCACATCTCTTTCTCCATGATCTTCCATACCCCTATCTCCATGATCTTCAACCTAGGAAGTTACTATGCCATTCACTGTAATGTTCATACCCATTGAGCCACACCACACTGGACATGTGATCCATAACATGGTCTCATTCAAACATTGAACTTGCAGGTGTCCAATCTTGCAGGGCACTGTGAAGTTGGTGGGGTAGGTCCTTGCAGCTCAAAGATGGATCATACCTAATTTAATCCTCCTCCAGCTCACAGCACTCCTCAATGTGAGCAAGAATTTTATCTTGAATCATTTTCATGCCTCTAGCATGCACTGAGTTGAGATGATTTAAGTGGTCCATATCACTTAGCAATGGACAGATTTGCTGTGGTGTCAGTGTTAGTCCACTTCAAATGTGCAACTGGTAATAGTATTGGCACAATATACTACACTTCCATAATACTCCTCATCATTGCAGAACCCGCCAGCAGGGGTTCATACCCATATCTTAATTGTGATTGTCAATGGTGAGGCCCACTGATATGGGACATTGGACATGACTGGCCCATAGGCTGGAATGTCATCATCATTGCACCATTCCATAAATGTGAGCACATCTCTCTCCTGGGCCCACGCTGCCACTGCCAATGTGTCCTTGGGTTTTTGGTAAGGGTGTAACTTGCAGGCATCAATGATGGTCACTGAGACAAGATCCTTGCATTTTTTCATGTAACCCTGGATTTTTGTCATAATGTCTTTGTTGGTCTGTGTGAAGGTGACTTTGATGACCCAGAATGCCTTCACATCACCATTGGTGTCTTGGAATTCTAAAAACAGGTCTGGAATTCCAACAGTCTTGCCCCAAACCTTGATCTTGGTCGTGGTTTGCACTAGGAACAAGAGACGCCATTGGGCATTGAGGGGTATTGAGCTGGTGACATCCTCAATGCCCATGGACAGTGGTTTCTGGAAACTATTGTGAATGCGAGAAGACAGTTTGGCTAGAAGTACACTGGGTGTATAGAGGAGAGGGAGAGTTGGATACTGATCAGTAGCAATCAATTAAATTCACTGTGTGAAGTTCTCACCTGTTCTCACCCATATTCCTTGTGGAAACATTCAGGGAAGCTAACTAAATTGGTTCATCATGCATTGATTCCTCATTCATAACCATGCCATTGTTGAATGTTTTCCTGATTCAGGGACTAAGTGGGTGTCAGCTGGCAGAAAAGCCCAAGTTGAGCCATAATTCTTTATTGCACCCATTCACCACACAGCTTGTGCTACTTACACTCCATGACTCAAGGCCAACTTGAGGCTGAGATCTCAGTGATAATCACAACTAGGAGGATTAGCCAAGTGCCAAATCAGACAGTACTACTAATTCAACCTTCGTACTTCTCTTTGCACCCAGTGGTTGTGATACATGTGGCAATTAGATAATAAGGTGTTCACTGGCACCTACAACTATCAACTACATAATACAGCCAGATTACATATTACATATATCATCAAAACCACCAAACACCTGAATCCCCTGGCATGTAATATACTCTAAACAACACCTTATGAGGCCTCAACTGGCATAGGAAATGGTTAGTTGGCAATAATAATATCAAATAGCTAGACATGTGCCACTTACATGATGCAGCAGTGATAGCTGAAAAAGTGACTTCTTCCGACTTCATGATGTGGTTGGATCTTATTTATGACTCTGTTGGATTCATGGAATGACAATGTTCCTGGATTCCTAAGTAGCTTCTCTCTCAACTTCTCTTCTTAAATTTTCCTCCTCAAACCTCCTCAGACATGTAACATTGATGTTGACCTGGGGTTCCTTAACCAACTCCTCCATGACTGACTTGGATTCTTGGAATGACAATGTTCCCGGATTCCTGAGCAGCTTCTCTCTCGGCTTGCTCTTTGGCTTCTTGTGCCACCTATATAATTACATATGCAGTAAACTCAGTATCCTGACCTTGTGTGAGAGGCCTGGCTTTTTGCATGGGGTCCTTTATTGTCTTTAACTCAGCATGAACTCAATCTGTGCTCCATGACTGTCACAGAGGTGTTAGTACTATTATATTGCAGATCTTGCATGCACTTGTCCCTTCTGACTTTCTATCGTATGGACAGGACCATACCCATCTGAAGCAGTCTAAGGATAGCTTTGATTATGAACACTGCTCCTAGATCATTTACTATAAGTCAAAGGCATTATCTTCAGCACACTTCCCTTTTGCTGAAACCCCCTGGAATGCCAGGTGTTTCTGGGTCCCTGTCATATCTGCATATCTGGATCTCAGATCTGACCCTTATCTCATCTCAGATCCACATCTTATCTCTGATCCTATCCACATCTTATCTCCCTCCAACATCTTGTCATTCAATCTGTCCACTTGTTTAGTCTGGTCCACAACTCATCTGAATCCACAACCAGTGCTTGTCCCCTTTTGGTAACCCCCTAACTCTGGTATTTCGGTTATCTGTATATCCATCCTGCTCCCTGATCCATTACCTATGTTTCATTTCCATTTCATGATTCATGATCCATTTCTACTTACCAATAGACTACCCATATGCTTTGTACATAGCCTCGGACCCTGCTGATTGATCATTCCGTTAGATACCTATAGTATATAACCTCCTGTAACTCTCTGTAGCACCTCAGTTCGAATATCATCTTAGTTCTACTCATTCCCATCCTCCAAGACTTAGGATTGATTCCTATAGTCTATTTGTATCTGCCTCTGTCTCCAACAGTCTATTACCGTTAGTTTCTAGTCTGGACTCATCCGGATTAGCCCTACAATACCTATCCTGCATCTGGAAGTCATCTGGATCTGTTATGATACTCGTTCAACCTTCCGGATGCATTAGTCTTGCCTTCCTGAAATAAGGGGCAATACTCAGGTAAGGGGCACAGCACATGAGCTGAGGCCGAAGCCCTTTGGATCCAGTTATCCCTTGAGTATGACCTTAACAGTCCCTCAGACATCTTACATGTGCGCACCACCTTGCATCTGATGTATCTACCAGCATCAACTTTTACACCTCTTACCACACCACTTGCTAGGATCACCTTCAGTCCTGGAGCTTCAAGCTTCAAGTATGCTGAATCTTTGAGGGGTGCTCGTCATGCATTGTATCATTCACATTCAACTCAGTCTCTTGACCATGTTTGAGAGGCTAGGCTTTCCGCACAGGGTCTTTGATTGTCTTCAAATAGCCATCTCAAACACAAACTGGGGTGTTCCATAGCCATCATGAATGGATAAAATTGCAATCCTCACTCTAAGCTCATTCCAACTTCCTGTTGTACAAACATGGATACCTACATATTTGAAGCAGTCAAGGATAGCTTCAGTAACAGATGCCTCCTTCCCTACAGCCCATCCCTTTGCATTGAACTTGGTGTTCCTATATTCTTCTTCAGCCCTGCAGGCTGCAGAGGTCTTGTTTATTGCCCATCAACTACAACAGTGGTGTATCTACTTCTCTACGAGATCCTACCTTTGTTTTGTGTCCTTCGCTTCATCAGAGTCAGGATGTGTCTTTGATCAACCTCCTTGGGACCTGGTAGTCTGGCTCTATGTGCCACTAAAAGCTGAGATCAGATTTGTCAGTTTGAGTGGTGACTGATTAAATTTTTGCAAAAGCAACAATAACTTCTGCTGTTCTACCAGAAGTACAGCAGCACTCCACACTTGACACCAGAAGATGACAATGCTGAGATTCAGATTTGATTGAGGAGGGTGGGGACCTTGCCCATGTGACCAGCAACAACTCCAAAACGACAACTTGGCGATACATAACAGTCTTACAGCACTCTTGGACCTCTAGTGCAAGTGGAGCTGATCTTACCTTGGACATGCGTCATCACTACACCACTTCATGATATAACAGAGGGGCAACTTGAGGATGATCAATAATGTTGCACGATGTCTGAGTCACCCTCCCCTATAAATTCTCTAGACCAGGAAATACTGTCAAATTGAAGCCTTGATGAAACCATTGAAGCCATCTACAACTCCACACAACACAGACAAGCACAGACTACTGCTTATCTGCTTGGGGCCAGACAAGAACCCCCCAAGCTCTACATTGAGGATGTCCCTGATGTGCATGCCAACTTTCAGGGTTTCATGTGTAAGCTTCATGCTCAATCATTCAATGTGTACCAATGTATGTTCATAACCAGATAATTTTTGCATTCCCCAGCATACAACCAATGCTGACATTGCAACTGCTTATGTTGATGTTGGGTTTGCAGACAATACCCTTTTCTCTGACATGTTTGACCACATCCATGCCTATATGGATATCTCACCCCAGGACAGTGAAGTTGGTTGGCAACTGTTAATGAACTGTCATTCAGATCTCCCAGCTCATTTGAAGACTTCTTTTGACCTTGAAAATGCATTCAAGTCAGCGAGAGCAAAGCAGTACTCAGGCAGGAATGAAAAAGTCATGAACATCAAGATATTGAACCTTGTATGTTGTTCTGCTATGAGATGAGGTCATTCTAACATGATATCTCTTTCCTAGAAATGCATCTCAAAGAGGGTTAGAGCAGAAACAGATAGCAGAAGCAGCCCCTCTGATGTTTCAACTGGCCCAGTCACCCTGCCAAGTCCAATCATTCACAATCACATCCATTTCACTGGTGGGAGTGATGCAGCCAGTCAAAACTATCAAGTGCACTCTAGTGTCAAATGCTCGCACATAATGTGCTGGAGACAGATGATGAATCTGATGATGAGTTGCAGCTGACAATTTATGATGTGATCAACATTCTCAACCATTGTTTTCCAGCAATGAACTTCAATCAGTGTTTGAGCACTTTGTGCCATCAAGGGATCATGTATCTAACAGCTGCAGTTGATTTTGACTCTGATTTTTACATTAGTGATGTTGGAATGTTGAGGGGGGCTGCATCTGTGTTTTGCAGGCAAGTCATGAAAATGAAGATAAAGAATGATCAAGCTGCAGTGTGAAGCAAGGCAAAGGGGAAGAAATGTGCTCACACATCTGACAATGCCAATGACTCAGACACATTAATGTATTTTAAATGTACAGACACATTTCAATGTACCTTTCTAGTAGCTAAGTATGTTGTAAACCCACAGAATCTTATGCTTGTATGAGACACCACAATTGATATAACTGGTTCCAACCCAACAAAGTGAAACCTTCCACATATTCTCACTCCCAAGTCTCTGCTGCTGTCAGCAGTGCCTGGCAGCCAGCCACACTGGCAACAGTACATACAGTGGCTCAAAAAAGTGTCTCAATGTTTGTGACTTTTTGTGCAATTGCTGTATTATGAGCTAGGGTGTGAGAGTATGACTAAGCCATAGGGAGGTGTGGGAAAGCTCTGATTCTAAGATTTATGTTTGATCCCTCTAGCGTGGGAAAATTATGGCATCAAGTGAAGATATGGTTAATTTAATTTGATGACTCATTGAGACACTTTTTTGACTTTCAGTTTGACCAACACAATCTCTATAATTCTGGTACTTGGTGTTTCCTCCTGTTGCTCTAATTACTTCTGCCACTCTTCTATGCATACTATCTATTAATTTGAGGCATTCCTCATCAACAATCTTGCCCCACTCTGCTGCAACTCTCTCCCACAGCTAAAATCACCCCTATTGAGGATCTTGATAGACTGCAAGTGGTGTCTTGAGTAATTACCAGGGTTGTTTAATAGGGTTGAGGTCTGAGGACTGGACTTGCCATGATAAAACACTAATACCATAGTTTTTAAACCATTTTATGGTCAACTTGAAGTATGCTTAGGGTCATTGTCTTGTTAGAGGGTAATGTCTTATTCAATAATTCTTGATTCTTGCATGCTTCTGAGCAGATACTTTTCCAAAATTGAAATGTGCTGCTTCGCATTCATCCTCCCCCCCACCTTACAGAGAATTCCTACTCCATCCCACCTCATACAACACCATACCATCAAGTTTCCTACTCCATACTTTAGTATTTTCTTGACTTTTCATTCTTCTAGTAGTTCTTCTGCCTTTCATCACATATATTCCTAGCCACCTGACCCCATCCTACTGGTTTTTGTCTCATGTGACCAGGTAGCCCTATTCCAGTCCTCAACA